CCTCCAGCCGGGCCACAGATCGCTGCCGGGGAGGAAAGGGGGGAGCAGGAGGTGGAGGGGAAGGAGGGGACACGGGCTGAAGGGACTCGCTTCAGAACCAGAAGTGTTAGGCACAACTGCTGCCCAAGTCCAGTTGTTGTTCCACGGCATAGCTGAGGAGTTACACCACAGAAGAAAGATCAGGAAGGAGAGGCCGAGGACTGCATCGCCTGTACTGACTCTGCAGTCACCTCCCAACTGCCTGAAAAAACTCAAGGGAAAAAAAAAGGATAGCTGAATGAGAAATCCCAAATCACGAAGGATCAAAGAGTAGTTTCTAAACATTCACATTTCTTAAGAAAGACTGGAAAGAAAACCTGCTCTCCCTGTACCCGTTTGCTGTACCTGAGCTTGCTCCACACGCTGTGGGCACCTGCACTTTGATCTGCAGTTCCTGCCCGCTGCAATGGCCTAATAAACACTTTAAACTAAAGCAGTCGGAGTAATGGTGCTGAAGTAGTAATAATCTCCTCTTAAACATTTCAAAATCCTTCCTAAGTAGCATTTCATTCCCTCTGAGCGTCGCGTTTCGCCTTATGTGGGGAGGGAGATGCTGATCTCTTCTCCCTGGTATTCAGTGATGGGACCCGTGGGAATGGTTCAAAGCTGTGCCAGGGGAGCTAGAGACTGGACATTAGGAAGCATTTCTTTACCAAGAGGGTGGTCAAACACTGGATCAGGCTCCCTACAGAGGTAGTCAATGCCCCAAGCCTGTCAGTGTCTGAAAGGCATTTGGACAAAGCCCTTAACCTGGTCACATGCTTCAACTTTCGAGTCAAACCTGAAGTGGTCAGGCAGCTGGACTAGATAATTGTCCCAGGCCCATTCCATTGAAATACTCTGCTCTGTTGCTGAGAGCTCTGGAAACAATTCCTCCATATTGGGGTGGGAACAGAAACAGGCTCCTCAGATACATGCAGCTCTGTCCTCCCAAGCAGCAGCAGCTCTCCTGCTCTTGAAGGGACAGGAGGGAGAGATGGAAGTCTCCTCCAGCAAGCTCTCCTCTGAGGTGCTGAGCAAGACCCTGAGGCCCCAAAGCCTGCAGGGTCCAAGGAGGGTGGTCAAGTCCCCATGGGGATGAGCACCCTGGCTCCAGAGACTGGTGGCCACAGACCAGAGACAGTCACACCAGGAGTACAGGGATTCTGGAGCAAGCAGGGCTGCTGCAGCACATCAGGAATGTCCCTCAGTACAGGGGCACCAGGCGAGGGGCTCCAAAGTGACTCCCAGAGGGCAAATGGACATCACAGTTGCAACTAAACAGCACTTGTGAAACACGTGGGCAACAAGAAATTCCCTAAATACAAAAGCAACAGCAAGGCTGGAATTTCTCCACTCCTTCGCACTCCACAGATGAAGCTGGTGGCTGTTCTCCTCCCTCCTACAACCCTCACAAAGGTCACTCCTACCAGGTACAGCCTCACAGCCTGCCTCTCATACACCCCTCTGCCATTTCCCTGGATAAGATCGCACCAAGAAGAGCTGTGAGACTCCAGAGCTCCCAAGTTTGCTCTCAAGACTTGGGGAAGGGAGGTTATCATGGTTACCACAGTCCTCACACATTGTCAGAATAGGCAACTAATTAGGTCACATTATAATTAGCCTGAGTTGCAG